TGTATACATTCTTACGAACGAGAATCATAAAAAGTTTGCCTAAACAATGGCCTCTTTTCAAAAATACTTTCAAAACCACACAAAGCACAATTTCAAACAAAAGCAAGTGATCTAGCAACTAACTAAGAGCCCATGGAAAACCATAGATGAAAAGAATGCTAATACCTTCCCTTTTCACAATCTACCCCCCGAACTCAAGAAAAAATCTCAAAGGTCTTTCCTGTGCTTTTTCACCTTTCCTTTTGAATAAGAGAAAAGTCGGTGGCGACTCTTGCTAACCGCAATATTTGAAATCAAATGCAAAACACCCAAGTCAGTTCTCCCACAGTATCACAGAACTAGCGACTCTATTGGGGAGTTTTCTAAAAATGGAGTTACCTTAGGGTTAGATTATATTTACTTGCTTTCTTTGTTTGACTTGTATGCTTTACATTATGGTTCTTTGTTTGGTTTTGAATCCTCTACCCAGATTTGGGATACCTTATAGGTAAATAGCAATACATTGTGGAAACTATGCAGGGTATACCGACATGGTCTAAGCAATAGCTACGTTAGTGGGACATATTTGTGGGTACCGGTAGCCCTTAAGTAGTCAAGGGGAATACGGGGCCGCTGAGTGATGTCATGAAGCACTAATGAACTTTAGAACCTTTACTTGACCAACTTGGCCATTAGGACGTAGTGAGATGACCTACTTTGGTGCAGTCCGAAGTTAGTAGATACTCGATACTACACTCATTAAGGTTTGTTTTTTTGGGATATTTCGGTCGTTGTTAAAGAGGTTTGCACTGAAACAATGACCAAAGAAACAAACTGGTGATATTGAGCTCCTTAGAACCCGGTTACTATTACTAGGACAGGTTTGAGCCAACTAAACTTCAAGAGGATACTTACCCATGAGACTCCATGCAAGCCTAAACCTAAGGACTTATTTTCTTTGTTTGTGTATATTTAATTGTACATAACATCATAAACATCATAACATCATACTCATTCACTAACCATTTCAAGGATCTTAGGATTTATCTTTGTTCTGTTTTGTAGGACATGGATTCTATTCACAGGAAAACTATTCAAGTCAATCTTCTAAGGATCCCTCCTCAACTTAAAGAGCTAGCATCAAGGATTCATGAAAATTCTCCATTCACCGAAAGACATGGTCACCTACTAAACTTGGTCACCTCTAACACGGATAAGGACATGATGAAGGGGCTCTTTCAATTCTTTGATCCTTTACACCATTGCTTCACATTTCCCGATTATCAGCTTGTGCCAACTTTGGAAGAATTCTCCTAACTCTTGAGGATTCCCATTCTCAATCAACTACCTTTCAACGGTACGAAAATAGATTCAAAGCTAGAAGATATTGCTCAAGCTCTACATTTGCAACCATCTGATATCACAACTAATTGGGAAACAAGGAGTGGTGTCAAAGGTTTCCTAGCAAATTTCTTATTTGAGAAAGCCCAAAACTGTTGGAACTCTTTGGATTTGCAAGCTTTTGAGGAAATTGTGGCTCTCCTCATCTATGGGATGGTTTTGTTTCCAAATCCTAACCAACTCATAATGTGAACACCGTCAAAATCTTCATGTCTCATAACCTGGTGCCTACTTTGCTAGGGGGCATCCTACATTCCTTTCACACTCGCACAATGAGGAAAAGAGGTATCCTTATGTGTTGTACTTCTCTTTTGGAAAGATAGTTTATTTCGCATCTTCGTCAATCTGTATTGAAGAACGAGCAAGGTTCAAGGTGGTCACATAGGTTGATGACGCTCAAACATTCAGACATTCATTGGTGTTCCTGATCCATAGAGAATGTTACTATTGTCAACCGTTGTGAGGAATTCCCTAATGTCCCTTTACTTGGCATTAGAGGAGGTATACCTACAACCCCTGCTTAGCCTTAAAATAGTTTGGTTACGCCCGAAGGGATGGCCCACATGAGATGCTCATTCAAGGTTTGGTATTTGACTACGAGAACAACGATCAAGGTCATCTCCAGAGGTTTATCCGAGCTTGGAGGATATTGAACAAGGTAGATAGAAAGACACTGGGGCATAAGAATTCCACCCTCTTGAGCCTTACCTCAAATGGGTACGAGAACATGCTCAAAGACTTATGATGCCTTACCCCTCCATTCTCCCGGTAATCATAGAGCCTATTGTGGAAGGAGATGTTCCGTACACTATCCTGCATCCTGACATGCCCACCTCTCTTGAAGACTTACAAAGGGATTGGATACAGCTTAAGGGGGGGGGGAGAGACACTTTCGAAGCCCAATTCTACGCCAGCGAGAAGAAGGTTTTGGAACTCACTAAGCAACTTCATAAGGAGCGGAGCCTGAATTCCTACATCGCACCAAAGAGGATGTATACAACTTTTTTATCTTAGAGTTTTTGTACTTCTTTGTAAGCCCAAAAGAGGCATGATTTACTCAAGCTCTGATTTATTAATATAACGTGTGTTCCTTTTTGGTATAAAGAAATTTTAAATCTCTAATTTCCTTGAAATCATTGCATATGCATTTACCATTCATCATAACATAAGCAGGTTTCTTACGACATGTCTCCTCATCTTTCTACTGTTTATTTTAGTAAGATGGATCTCGAGCAGACGGTAAAAGACCTCCAAGCACAGAATGCTCAGTTTCAGCAGTTGTTCTTGACTCTAGCCAAAGGACAAGAAGATCTGAAAACCTTACTGATTGAAGAAAATAAGAAGAAAAAGAAAGTAACCAGAGTTATGAATATGGGAAGAATGTTCCAAGGACAAGAAAGAAGGACCCTAGACTTTGCAACGTCATCTGGTGAAAAAGACAATCAAGATGGGAAAGGCAAGGAAGCAGTTGTCCAGCAACAGTCTGAAGAGGGAGAAAAGGAGGATTACTCTGAAGAGCAGTGTGATACGGTGGGAAAACTGACTTGAGGTTTTTGCGTTTGTGTTTGCAAATGTTGCGGTTTAGCAAGAGTCGCCACCGGCTTTTCTTTTATCCAAAAAAGGAAAGGTGAAAAAGCACAGGTGTTGCACCCCAAAATTTCCCCTCCTAATTTCTTCTATCTGGCTTAGGCTCTTACATCCATCTATGTATATTCCATTAGGTCATTAACAAACATTTGCATTCAATAAAGCACTTGAGGTTCAAAGTTCAGTGGTTGTGCGATATTAGGGTTTCGCAGCAGTTAAGGTGTTCATATCCAATAAAGCCTGATTCTTCTGATCATCCTTCAAGCAGTGAAATGTGGAATTAGGATGGCAACCTATGTTTATTGAGGGTTCTATTTTCTTCAAATTAAGGGGGTTATTACTCATCCAGATACATTCAAGACAAGAGTCAGAGTGTTTCTCCACCAAGTTTGTGCTTGCCAGCATTTCATCAACCGAGGTTCATTAGGTTTTCTAAGTCGTGGCCATCTTGGTCATATTTATTTCGGTATTCCCATGTTCAATTCCAAATTGTTCTACGGGGTCATCTAAGGGCTACTAAATCAGGCATTCATTATCTCCTTGTGCTCAATGTCATCCTTTGATTAGGGTTTATTTCTCTAAATCATGTACCATTCAAGAAAGGTTTCTCTGGGAAGTTGTGATTATCAGGCAAGGCTATAATCAAGGGATATCGTCCATGAACAGTCATGGTTTCAATTGATATATCTTTGGAAAATAAGAAGGAAATCATTGATTGAAACTCTAGTCATATGCGCAACAACTCTATTCTAGAAAAGAAGATTCAGTTGGACCTTCTTCACGAATTAGGGTTCATATGCCTTATAATGTAGGGCTCTTCATCTGGTCGATTGACTTGCGATTTAATCTATTTTATTTGAATTTTATTTTAATGCTTTGAAGATCATAAATCCAAAAGCTTTGTGTGGAAGTTTAGGACTTATATCCTATCATACTTGGGTTTATCAACATCTTCAACGGAGGTTCATGGGATGATAAGGCGTGATATAAGGATGGCATTGCGAATTCGTTATGATCAAGGGAATTATCATTCTCAATTGTTTGATCGCTTGTATTGCAAGTTAGCTTGGAGGCGAGAAGTAAAATTAAAGTTTTCTTCAAGACATGGTACTTTGTAAGATCACTGGTTATCGAGTCAAAGGCTTACAGATTGAATTTCAAAATATTAAATCAGGGTTCAAAGAATATTTTGTGGGTTCATTATGCTTGTTGCTCGCAACACAAGCAGTTACTAATTGATTGGTTTTGTTAATTAAAGATTGGTTTAGAATTGTTCATCCAAGTTTCATTTGTGTTCCAAGTTAAGATTTGAAGGAAATTCATATGGAATACAAGTTGCAGAGTGCAAAAACCACCATGGTTCATTCAAGTTCACCTCTGATTCAAAGTTTATTGCAATTTGAAAGCACATCCCAAGGGATTGTCTCGTTACATTCACCAAGGCATGTCGAAAAATGGAAACATGCCTTCACCTTATGTTGCTTTCGGCTATGGAGATACGTAAAGAGCATATATTTTTGAGATAAAATTACGAGTTAAAAATCCGAATAACATTCTTCATACACTTCCAACCGTTCAAAGTTACATATAAAATATGACAATTTCTATCCAATTCATGAATATATTACATCAAAAGCCATAATAAAATCTATCCTAAACCTATTTTTCCCGAATTAACTTCAATTCCTTCGAGTTGCTCCATGCTATGCCTCTTCAAACATATTTCCATTTTCGATTAGCCATGCCTTTCAAGTTATGCCAATTCAATTATAACCTTGGTATTGATTCATCATAGACCTACATAAATGCAAGAGTAAGTCAGTTTGCATTCAAGCATTTCAATAGGGAAAGCATATCGTCAATCACAGCCCGAGATTTATAGAAGTGCAATATTTGAAGTATCCAATATCCAATTCAAGAAATGTTCAGAAAGTATAAAATCAAAAACAAAAAATACGATGAATAACCAAATCCAAACCCGGTTTATTCATATAACAGAAAAAACAGAAATTCAGCTTTTGGTTCAGTAGGAAATGCATAAGAAAAATATAGAGGTAGTGCAAGGTGTTGATGTCTATCCTGTTGTGCAACAAATGCTTATTCATCAATGGAAAGTGCTTAAGGATGAAAGTACTTTGGAATAAAATAAAGTTGCTTAGAATAGTTTTATTGTGGTCGTGCTGTCTAAGAGTAAGGTAGCAACTACTGCTTCATCTGCAACCTCAAATGCTGCTAGTTTTGTGCCACCCCCTTCGTCAACACCTCAGCCTCCTGCTTCGACTTCCAGACAGGGAGATTCCAATCCTGTGCAAGTGCCTGCTGTAACTGTAACTAAACTTCTAACTAAATAACCCTGCATAACTAACAAACTATCAAACCAAATTTTTCTAAACAACCCTTTAATTAACTTCTAGTCATAACCAACTCCTAACTGATTCTGCAACTAACTTCCAGTCCAAAAAAATAGTCTCTAACAACCTCCTAATCGTTTAAACTAACAAAAGTCAACCAACTGTCATAACAGATAACTAACTCCTTGCATTCATCAATCCATATATAACAACCTTTAACACCATACACGCTTCACGGGAATTCTTTAACCAAACCTGTAACTAACTTCTAAAAACTCCTAACAGAATTTAACAAACTGAGAGAACATGAAACTTTTTCTAACAGATTTATAATAGATCATAACAGAAAAGGAGGGAGAGGTGATTCTTGGCTATTCACAGTTTTATCTACACAGAGAAAACTACCAAGAAAATGATCTATCTATTCTCTACATGATTCAAAACAGAAGTTCGGAGAACAATATGGAGAATTCACCAGAAAAATCTCTTTTCTTTCTATGCTTTCTCTGATAAAACTCCTCAATTACCTTCAGTTTCAACACCTCCATCAAGAATTCTTCGATATTCCTCTGCAATCATCATCATCTTCATCAGCGAACCATCAAGAATCTTCTTTTTCGGCAACAGAACACCACATCTTTAACTTCTCAACACAACTTCCTCATCGCCGACTTCAATAAATTCTGCAATCTCACTGTATCTTCCTCAATAATCAACAATTTTGCCTTCCTCTCAGCTTCACCTAATCATAACATCAACATCAAATTGGCAACCGCATTACACGCTCCATTCAATACTTCTTCATATGCGTTCTTCATCGCAAGAACGTGACACCAAAAATCAGAGAACAAAACACAGAAGTGAATCGAAAGAGAAGAAGAAAAATACGAAGAAGATACATACCTGAACCTCTGGTTTTCTATTCAATTCTCCGTTATTGAATAAGCATATTCTCTGACAGAAGAGGTTTTAATGAAGAGATTACGGTAAGTAAAAGGTTGAGTTGAAGCGAAGTCTGAGTTGAGTCGTCCATGACGCTTGTGACGAGAGAACAATGTTAAACAAAGCACTCATGGCGGAGTTCAAAAGGTTGAGTTTGCGGTGAAGCAAAGGGAGACGAGGGAATACGTGAAATCGATGAGGTATCAGAAGGGAGTTTGATAGAGAGGGAAGATAAGATGGAGAAGATGAAGTAGTTACAACAGTAATATGAGCAAGGAAGATTGGAGAAGAAGAATGGCAGCTTCGGGGTGGAGAATAGGAGAAGGAAGTGGCACCACTCGTGTTTCGCAGAGAAGGAGAACGATGAAAGGTGATCGTCACATCTAGCCCTAATCCCCTTTCATTCTCTTATTTAAATTTTATTTATTTATTTTATTTCTGATGGTAAATAATCATAGAACATTTAATAATTAAAGCTTAATGATAATGGTTTGAAGATGGTGATGGTATGTGAGGTGGGCCAAATTTTCCACCATAGGTCCGTTAGTTTTTTGGTAATCTGTTGCTAAGAACAAAAAAGGCTTTGCATTACTGATCCATCACACCTGATCCTGATTTTACACCCCCCATGTTCATAGTCTTTAGGTTATTTTTTAATTCTCTTTTATCAATTTTTTTTGCTAGTAGAATTAGTGAATTTTAGGAGATAATAAAAAAAAATGCTAATTAGGAATATATTAGAATAGAATTTGATTTGTTTTTTATATTTCTTATGTGAAAAATACTAGAAAATAATAGAATGTTTTAGATTTATCTTTATCATTTTATTAGAATTTTCTATTATTACTTTTATTGGTAATCATTTTGTTGCCATTTTTAGCTGAGATTTTGTGATAGAATATCGATGTAACTTTCACAATTTGGAATGCTTGAAGATTAATTCTTTGATCACTTGTGTGAAGTAGCTTCGGTAGAGTTTTCTTATTGCTTGCGTGGCTCTAAAGAGGCAACGGACCTCCTCCGTTCGGTATCATTGTAATTTCATTTTATTCCTCATTCTCATACTTTACTGCTTTTCTAGAAATCAGGAGAAACAGGGCTTTACTGCAAGCTATGCATGCTAATATTAGGTAGAATTCCCTCGAAATTCCAATTTTAGGTCCATGATGCATAATAACATTAGGTTTATAAATAGGCTAGTCTCCCTTTGACTTTTCTTCCCCTTTTGCATTTACACTAAAACTAAAACTTCTTTTTTCTTTCAAAATTCAAAACACTTAAAAATTACTGACGAGAATCGTGCCTTTGTTGAACATGGGAGATGGTAAGCAGGTCTCTTCTCGATCTTATTATTCTTCATATCAAGCCTAGGTGTGGTTCAGTTTGCAAAGACTCATTTCATGAATAAGTAGAGGAATGGCTAAAATCTCTCTCTTGAGATTAAATAGTTGTTATCCACAAGCAAAAATATCAACAAACACAAAACTCTTTTTGCCTACGGGCCTTCCTTCCAAAACTCTTTTTCAAAAGAACATGTTAATTCACTTCTGTGCTGACGCGTAAGTCTCCAAAGGTCGAGTTACGGCAGAAGGCAACATTAATATCGTTCATTACAAACACAAACAAATTCAAACCTTTTTGTGCATCCAGGCACATTTTCTCCAAAAAATCTTCAAAAGAACAAGTTAATTCACTTCTATGCTGACGCGTAAGTCTCTAAAGGTCGAGTTGCGGTAGAAGGCGAAATTAATACTGTTCATTAAAAAATACAAACCAACAAAAAAATGTGAGCCGAACTACGACTGCTCTGATTCCTTAAAAGGGATACGTAGGCATCGGGGTAGGGCCCGAACGAGCACAATTTTATTTTCCCTACATTCTTTTCCCATTTCTTTTGCATGCATTCTCCCTTTAATAATATAGTAAACAGTATAGATTGAACACACCCATAAGATAGACAACAAGAGTGGATACCATAGAGTACTATGGACGCGTGGGGTGCTAATACCTTCCCCTCGCGTAACAGACTCCCTTACCCTTATCTCTCAGTCGCAAGACCGTGACTTTTCCCTTCTCAGGTTTTCTCGATGTTTACCATTCCCTACATGTGGGATAAAAGATGTCCGATGGCGACTTCATTATTTTGATGATTTTCAGCCGGTTGTTTCAACAGGAAAGACCTTTAGAGATGTTTTCTTGAGTTCGAGGGGTAGATTATGAAAAGGGAAGGTATTAACACCCTTTTCGTCCATGGTTTTCCATGGGCTCCTAGTTACTCGCTAGATCACTTGCTTTTGTTTGAATGTGCTTGTGGTGTGGGTTTTGAAAGTATTTTGAAAATGTAACTTTGTAATGATTCTCATTTCTATAAGAACGCATACAAAGTGTTTGTTTCGAAAATAGTTCAAAGATGTGTTTGTGAGATGTGTTTTTGAAAGTATTTTGAAAATATAACTTTGTAATGATTCTCGTTTCTATAAGAACGCATACAAAGTGTTTGTTTCAAAAATAGTTCAAAGATAAGAGTGTGGGTGTATAAAAATGTTTTTGTTGTGAGCAAGCGAGTAACTGAGAAAGAACCTACCTACTCAAAAGATCTTAGATGTGGTTTTCCTCCTCCTTTAGATTTTACTATCTTACCATTAATTTGATAAGAAGCCCCATCGTTGGATATGAAGGGACGGGCGTTGGGTCATCGTATGATGACCATGATAGCAATGTTGTGAGATGACTTAGCATTTTTCTTTAGGGACTAAGATCATTTCGAAAGGCAACTTTGATAGCGTCATTGAGGGACTATGATCTTGTATTTTTTTGTTTGTGCTAAGACATCCCACATGCATAACATGTCCATTTTTGTAAGGAAACAAGTGGAATAAACTTAAGGGTGCATGTGTGCAAGTGTGTTTGATTTGCATGTATTAACTCTTGATTAGGGTGATCTATTTGTCAATTTCATGTCTTTCCATACACACCCTAATTACTAGCATTTACATTCAAAAGCGATAAATTGCAGAAATGTAAAGTCCTACGCTATTACAAAATTTTAGGGGATAGGGGTACATATTTATGAATGGGGATTGCAAGGAATTTAAGTCCTAATTATCTATTACAACCATATTGAAATGCATAATATAAGAAAGAAATGGACTTGTTTAGAAAATGTTTTTTGTCTTAAGGAAATAAATTAAAAGGAAAATATTTTTAGGTTTTTTTATGTTAATATTAAAAATGATGAAAAGGAAAATAAATGCAAGATAGAAACAACGTGCTACTGCAAGAAGAACAACTAGGATCAAAAGTTCTGAAGCCAAGAGAGATGTGACTCCGCAGGAGACGTCAGTGGGATCAGAAGTTCTGGATTGGTAAACTCTGAGGTCCTGCAAGAGACGTTAGAGGGAAAACACATAATTTATGGGTGGTATTCAGACAGTGGGACACAAGTTAGAAGTTCTGCATTACACTAAAACAGTGAGTAGACGTCAGCAGTTCAGTGCGTTATCAACATGTAAAATCAGAAACTTTGAGTGTTTGAAAATAGCGAGTGGAAACATCAGAAGTTCAGTGTATTTGACATGTAAGGAGAACTCAGAAGTTCTGTGCCGTGTTAGAACAATGAGTGAATAATCAGAAGTTCTGAATTGTGCTTAGTCAGTGAGTGAATATTAGCAGTTCAGTGCGTTATCAACATGTAAGAATCAGAAGTTCAGTGTGTGTTAACAGTGAGAAAAATCATAGAAGTTCTGTATGTTAAAACAGTGAGGAGAACTCAGAAGTTCTGTGTGTGTTTAACAGTGAGAAAAATCATAAAAGTTCTGTATGTTAAAACTATGAACGAACATCATAAGTTTTATGCCATATTTCAACTCTCAATCAGCACATCAGTAATTTATTCAGTTACCAACAAACAACAAATCAGAAGAATAAAAAAACACAACAGTTTACAGAATTTCTAATCCTGATCCTGAGCATAGCCTTAATCAAGAAGTTCTGATCCATAGTTTTTCTACTTATGCAATGATATGGACAACAACAATACTATGATATTTACATGTTAATGATGTTCAGAATGAAAAAACAAGCAAAGTCAAAAAGACTTACCTTGAACCTGGAGCGTGCTTGGAGCTTTGAGCTGCTACCTTTGTATGTTCTGGAATTAGCAAGAGTAACGGAAGAGGAAGTGCCAAGCTCTTTGATTAAAAAGGAAGAACAAAGGTTTGGTTTTCTGTTTGGGATTTCGGGATTTTTTTATGAAGGTTTCAACTTCCTTTTCTCTCCCTCAAAGCCTAGCCCTTTTAGATGTGTGATGGAGCAAAGTATTTATAGGTGAATTTGTTGTGATTTTGGGGGGAAATACAAATGGGATTTTAAAATCAATTTGGCATCCTGCTCCCTTGCTTTTTCATCACTATTTTCGTAAGCTAGTTTGGTGCAATTATGGGATGCAGGCGTAGGCTGAACTAGCTGTTGGTTATAGGTCTGCAGCGGGTTGTATAAACAAGGTTCTGGGATTTGGTCATGTTCTGACCAAAACATTGAATATAACCTTCATATGCTGAAGTGTTGCCTTGTTCTTGAAGCAAGCATGGTGGTTGTCAGCAGGAATTAAGGAAAAGCAAAAAGCAAAGTATGGGCTTAGTACCAAAGTTGCTATCCCAAGACAGTAGAGGTGCACGGGGTGGAAATCCTTTGGATAAAGACTCAAAAGTGGTTGTGAGCATTAAATGATGACGAGACTTATCACAACCAGAAATCCTGCAACGTGAGATTCTACACCATGGCTTAGTTTTGGATCAGAAGTTCTGCTTTAGCGTAGCATCTAACCTATGATCTTTGTATCTTCTGGCTCCAGCATGTTCTGAAGGAGAACATTGCTTCCACATGTTCTAATTAAAGCGTCATGTTCTGAACCGGAGAACATCGCTTCCATATATTCTGATTGAAGCATCATGTTCTGAACCATGTTTGCAACCTCTGACTGAAGCTTTTGTGAAAACTTGCCCAGAAGTTCTGACCAAACTCTGCCTTGAGAGTGTCCAGAATTTACTGAGTGTTATGGTGATAATCTGGTCAGAAGTTCTGAGTTTTGTCATAATTCTTAAACACTTAGAAAAATTCCAAGTATTTAGAAATTTGACTTTTCCAAAGTAAAATTTGACTTTTGAATTTTTTAACGAAACAAACTTCATATTCCAACATGTCTTGATGAAATATGATTTTTTTGAGATTTGATTTTGATCCAAAAGTCAGAGTTAGACTTCTCAGCGTGCAAATGACCATTTTGCCCTTGCGGATGACTTTTTTTGGAAAAATTGATAATTCAAGGTCTGGAAACTTGATAGAAGCAAACCTGGGATCCATGGTGATCCCTTGTGAAATGAGAGGGAAAATTTTGGGGTACAATAAGCAGTATCCCCCGGCCGATGACAAGTACAAGCATCTGGAAGAATGACTAAGCGCAATGGAAATCCAGAAGGTGCATGGGATAGACTTTGAGGAGCTAGGCTTGGTGTCTGGGATTGTCATTCCCCCAAAATTCAAGGCACCAATATTTTCTAAATACGTCGGAGTTTCGTGCCCTAAAATGCATCTCCGATCCTATGTGAGGAAGATAGGGCCTCACAATGCGG